TTATTTATTTTTGTTTTTGGGTTTTGTTTAAAGATTTTATTGCCAAAGGTGTGTGAGGCTCAGCGATTTACGAGCGGAGTAACTTTTGGTAATTTGGTACTCATCTCAGGCGATATTCCAAAAGATGTTTATTATTGCGTTGGCTTCTCATTGCATTTGTTTTCTTTTCTTGGTGTGCGTCTCTGTCAGTCGGGCGCACGGACACACAGGGTTGAAGGGTGACGAGAGAAATCAAAAGAAAAAAAAAAAGAAAAAGAAGGGGAGGGATCACGACAACACGGATTCGGCGTGTGGAAGTGTTTGTAGGGCGACAAATGGACGGTGTGCGGTACCAGATAGAGCAGCTGCAGCACGTCCTCGGGCAGCTAGATCCGCACCGCAAGCTGGCGCCGGAGGACGCCTCACAGCTGCAATTGAGCCTTGCGAAAAGCACGGCAATTGCCCGCCGTGTGGTGGAGCGGCAACACCGCCGGACGTTCCCGATGCGACTGGCGGGTGCCGGCGCGGATGCCGGTGGTCGACACGAGCGGCCCACCGTGTCTTCCCCCACCTTCTCTTCCTCAGGCGAATTGCGCCAGAAGGAGGGGTGTGACGCGTCGCGAAGTGACCTAACGTCTGCGGGTAAGAATAAGTGGGTTGACGCGACGGAGGCGGTCTCGCTGCACGGTGAGAGAACGAGAGGGGAAGAGTGCCGCCGTGAGACAATTCGCAGCATCGCCACGCAGCATGGGATTTCTGTGGATGAGATTCGTCGCTACAATCCACAACTATCGTTTTACAACGATGAGGATGTGCTTCCATACAACACGTACATTAAGATGAAGCCGCAACTGAACCGGCGGCCCCACTATGAAAATGGCACAGACAAAGCATCGTCCGGTCATTATGCAAAAGAAACGCAACATCACGCAGATGACACGGTGTGTGCAGCGCTCCCTATACCTTTGGCGCCATTGCCAGCTCTTCAGGAGGCAAATCTTCACTCTATGAATACGAAATCCACGGTGACACGACGCGAAGAGAGTCCTCTACCCTGTGAGCCTTTTATAGACTGCGCGGATTCAATGAAGGGACTATTGATGCAACTACCTTCTATTTCCCCTGAGGGATCGTTCTTGGAACGGAAAGAAAATTATGTCAGTTACACTACTGCAAGCGATATTCATGACCGTAGCCATAAAAAAGACGTGAATTCTGCGAACTGTATCAAAACACCTGCCAATGCTTCAGCTTCCGCTGTTTCTTCCACCGCTTTTAGCGTGACGGAGCCTTCAAAGGGCATGCTGAGTGCTAAAAACTCTGCCGAGATGAACACAATGACATCTGAGGCCGTTCCAAGTAGTCATCCTTGCGTGTCGAGGATCAGAAAGCCTCCCCATACACAGTGCAAGACCATCGTGTCATCTTCTAGTAACGATGCGCTTTTGAAATATAGAAATCGGCCGGGAATCGACGATTTTGATTTTTCCCTTACGACTGAATCATCTTCCTTTCACTCCACGCCAACACCCACTCCGAACTTGTCGCCGCAACCGAATAGAACGAACATTCAGATGACATATGACGACGCACGGGGGGGCGCATTGGAGAATGCATTATGCCAACGCTCAGTGCCTTGGCCAACACATGGGCGGCAGACCCTGAATTCTGCACCAGAAGATTTGGTAGAAAATGGTCTTCTTGAGAGCAATGAGTTGTCGCCTATTCCAAAAGCATCCTACCAGCCTGTCGAAAACTGGGGTGATTTTGATACGATTAATTCCATCGCCTTACAGTACAACGTTTCTATCAAGGACGTTTTGAAGTGGAATCCTTACTTGTTGGCTTACGGGGCGGATGATCCACTGCCAGCCAACTTCCCAATTTTACTGCCACTTCCACAGCAGGAATGACATGCTCTTTTTGTGTCCGTCGTCCATCTCTCTCGATATATATATATATATATATATATATACATTGCTTTAATTTTGCAAAGGTATAGTGGGCATGGCGTTGTTTGAGAAGAGGCGAGTTGACATGCGAAGAGCAATGAGAGGAAATGGTTCAAAAAAGAGGACTGCTTAGAGTTTATTTCGTATTTTGTATCTTTTTTTACTTTTTTTTTTTTTGAGGTGGGAGTTTATGAGGAGATGAATGGCGTAATAGGTTTTTATTGGGAGTTGTATTGAACCGGTATACAGGGCGTTGGTTTGCTTTATGTCTCTTTTCAGGAATGAGAGAAGACGTGAGGGTGTGTTTTGGTTTGCATGCATATTGGCCTGCAGATGTACATGTGTGCAAATGTCACATGGAGGCTTTACATGCCTTTATTATTATTATTATTATAGATTGAAGTGCCATTCCATCTGATTCAGCGGAAGGGTGATGGTGTCAACGTAGACAGAGGAAGAAACAGGAGAAGTAGAAAAAGAAAAAAAAAAAAAAAAAGAGAGAGAGAGAGAGAGAGATAGAGAGCTTTTAGAGACGACAAGATAGCAGAGAAGAAGAGAATAACAACAACAACAACAACAAAATATAATGAAAAGGGGGTCTGCTTCGGACAATAAGAGGAGTAACAGTGGAAAGAAACACGAGCGGTTTGTTGCTTCGAATAATACGGAGGGAAGATTTTAAAGGATGAAATATGAGGTTACGTTTTTATCCAATGCACACATATATATACATATATGTATGTGTGTGTGTATATGGGTTTTTTTCACTTTCATGCTGTGACGGTAACGATATGAATATCACTTTCTTTTTTTTTCCTTTTCTTTTTCGTTGGTTTCAATAGCATTGGCTTGTTTTTTTTTTTTTTTTTTTTTTCTTTTTCTTTCTTTTATTATTGTTTTAATTGGTTATATTTTTTCTTTGTATCTTGTGCCTTGTGCGTGACGACATGTTCGTTTTTTGTTTTGTTTTCTGGACATTTGTGTGTGTGCGTGTGTGTGCATGCCTGTGCAGCAAAGGTGAAACGATATAAATATAAATATAAATATTTAAATTGTCTGGCGTCTCCTCCCATATTTCGCCGGGAATTTTGTTAGCGGTATGCCGCAGGGCACAACCGAGTGGTGCCAGGCCGCAGCAAAAGTAGACGGGGGGGTCAAATTACACAAAAGAGGCTCATAGAGACGAAATGGGGCACTTTTTGAGAGATTTTAAGTGAGAATTTTTGGGGTGGGAAAAAAAAGGAAAAAAAAAAAAAAAAAAAAAAAAGAATGCCATCAATGAACGGTTTTTTTTTTTTAATTTAAAGTGCTCACAAAAAAGAGTTGTTTGTTCGTGTGTGTGTGTGTGTGGAGAATCAATAGACATGTTTGTCCCTTCTTGTTGCTGTTGTAACTTTTATTTGTTCTTGCGTAAATATATATATTTTTTTATTTTTTCCTTTTTTTTTTTTTTTTGGCGCTGTTAAACAGTACTTAGGGAAGAGAACGTCTTTTTCTTTTTTTTCTTTTTTCTTCTTCTTCTTCATTAAACTTTTCTTTGTTCCCTTCAGTTTTCATGCAGCCACCCGCTCTCGCATCTCTTCCTGTCATTCTTCGGAAAGACGACAGCCTTGTTGTCGCCTCCTTTTCAGAGCAGCAGCGCACACTGACGGAGGTGGAGGGCACTCTTATGACGGGCGATTATCGCGAATGTGAGGTGCAATTTAATCCTGTGAAAAAGACCGCCTTTGCCCATGCGACGACGACACATGTGCGCTACAGCGAGTTGGTGCCAACGCAAGATGAAAATTTATGGGGGTTGAAACAAATTTTTGAGGTGGAGGAGCGGAACGTTGTGGCGCTATCGTTCTCAACGCTTGGTACTGTACTTGTGACATATGCCATGATGGACAGCAGGCGGCCGGAGGGCAACATGGTTCTCTACGATGTGGATACAGGAAATGTGCTTCGTCGCTGCGTACAGGCCCGCTGGCCTGGCATGGTGTGGACAAGTGACGAATTGTATTGTGTTCGACCCGTGCAAGGATTTCTTCACGTAATGGATGGTAATCTCCGAAAGGGTGAGGTACCGGTGCTCTTCAAGATGGATCTTCAACTACCACAAGACAAGGAAATTGAGTTGTCCATGTGCCCAGGAAGTATTTCTCTTCTTGCCCTATTTAAGCCATTCCAAAAACAAGTACAAGGCACGCTCTTTATCTACCGGCTGCCTAATCTCTTGGAGGGTTTGATTTATCAGGTGCCATTTGGACGTGCGGAGTCCGCAACAGTGCTTTGGAGTGGCTCTGGAAACCACATTGCGCTCTTGGTCAAATCGGAGAGTGACAAGAGCGGTAGGAGCTATTATGGCACTGTGGCGTTTTTCCTTGTAAATGTTACGGGCCGCAGTATAAAAGAGATCAAGTTCCCCAGCGGGGAGTCCGTGCATGACTGCCAGTGGAGTCCGACGACGGATCAAGTAATGGTGATACACGGCACAATGCCACGCAACAAGACGACATTATATGATAAGACGGGTGTGGCGCTTATGACGTTTGGTGAGGCGCCGCGGAATACCATTCTTTGGGCGCCAAATGGCCGTTATTGTGCATTGGGTGGCACAGGGAATCTTGCGGGGGATTTTGTCTTTTTCAACTTGCACCCTTCCGACAGCAACAACAACATGAAAAATATTCACAAGGATAAAAACACGAGGGCACCGATGGCACCAAAGCCAGTGGCAGCATCCTCTTCTGAGGCGGCGGTAATGATTGGTGAGTTTAACGAGAAGAGCAGCGTGCAAATGTGGGCACCCGACTCTCATAACTTTTTTTGTGCCACTATCTTTACCCGTCTGCGTATTGATAACAAACTTGTGTTCTTTAAGAAGAACGGTGAACATCTTCTGACACAGAAATATCCCATGCTTTATGGGGCGCATTGGGTACAAACTCAAGACACGCGTTTGTATCCTGTTCGTTCAGCCTCTCCGCGCAAGGAGACGGATAAATCTTCCAAGCCGCAACCGTACAGGCCACCTCATGCAAGTGCAGCAGCCGCAGCGCTCTTGCGTCGCCCAGATTCTTCCGCGCCGATGCAGGTGAAACCCACGGTTCCTCCTGGTGCTACCGTTGTGGTGCAGAAGAAGAAAAGGCGTTAACAGTTATATTTACGCATTTGACCTCTTTATCTTTTCGCTCTTTGTGACTGCGTGTGTCTGTCTTTCTTTGTTTGGCATTACTGCTAGTAAGGCGGGAATTTTTTTTTTTTCGTTGTTGTTCTTGTATGGTTCTCTACTCTGATAAGTCGATTTAAACTTTAAACTATGGTCACACAAGCACGCAATGATTGTGCAGCCTTTAACCCACTGGGGATGTTTGGGCTTATCGAGCACGATTTGTATTTTTCCATCTTTATTTATGTTGCCTTTTCAATTTCTTTTTTTTTTTTTTTTGTGTGTGTGTGTGTGTGTGTGTGAATAGTGCGAAAGGAGCTTTTTTGCTTTGCATTGCGTCTTAAAAAAAAACTTTATTTTATATATATCTTGTTGACGTGACGGTTATTTTGTGGTGATGCCGTGGAGTGTTGCCAAGATGTAGAAAAGAAGGAAAAAAGAAGGGGATGTGTTTACTTCCTTGATGCCTGCTGGAATGCCGAACCGAGGAGTTGCAAAAGATGATTTAGGAGGAGTAATAAATGGATTGGAGATTATAACACCGCGAGTAACTTCAGCCTGCATGTACATCACTGAAGGACAACAACAACAACAACAACAACAACAACAACAAAGACTACATGTTTAATGGATGGGACAGACTGCGTTTGGGCTGTGGAAAAATGGTTGTGCATGAGGCCTTTTGGGGTAGGACTGGTATCGGCTTGGATGTTCTTTGGAAATCCACGAATTTTACGCGGGAGTGTACATTTTGGTGTCCCAATTTGTGTGTGTGTGTGTTTGCCTTCTGGCTGCTCTGCTATTGCGCTCAGGACAACTGCTCTCATGCAAGAAGAGCGTGTCATTTTTTTCCTTTTTCTTTTTGGAGCGGAGCAAACCGATTGGAGGAGCATGCTGACTGCAGTCAACATGCTCAGGACGGAGGCGACCTGTCGGAATAAACGGGGCGTTGTGTTTCCCAAGGCCGTGATTCAGGTGGGACCCGGCGAGCGAGGAAGAGAAGGAGGGGTCTTGTCACGGCGGGGAATGCCGCCTCACTTCCATAACTCCACTGAAGTGGATGTGCGGAGTGTATGAATGGTCTTCTGACGAAATGGTGGTGTGGGGGCGGTGCCGTTCGCCTGCAACCTTGTCGTCTCTTTCTTCCTGTGTGGTTGTCTGTGCGAAGGGGGGGAGTAGGGGGATGAGATGAGGTTGTGGACGTGTAAATGATTATTATTTGATTTTTCTGTTTATCCACGCAGGGAAGTAGGAACCACATTTGTGTATTTACACAATGCCTGTAGCTACTGCATCATTTTCTTTTTTTCTGTTTCTTTATTATTATTATTATTATTATTATTTTGTTTTGTCTCAATGCGGAATAATAATAATAATTATTATAATAATAATACTTGACTTCTGTTGTAGGAGTACACATACACACGCATATATATATATACATACATATACCGAGGCACACCACCCATAGATTTGCGTTTTCTGTTTGTTTCTCATTAGGGCCCTCTTTGTGCAGGTGGAATATTTGTTTTGTGCCGCAAACATTCCTCGGAACGTTCAGCAACGAACGAGGAAGAAGTCAAATAACATTCGATATCTATAGCGTGAGAGACGTAAACAACGACCACCACAACAGGATAAATTCCATAGAAAAGGAAAGCCAAAGGGAGGGGGGAAGTGGTGGACGGCAGAAATGGCAACTCTTCCCGATGATGTGGAATCTTTGCATAAACGAATTCAGTTGAGTGAGGAGTGGAATATGCGGCTGCAGAGTCAGATTCAGGAACTTTTGCGTCTCTCGCACAATGAAGTAAAGACGATGCGTGATCGAATGCAGAATCCTGATATTGCTATTCCACTCCTGCAGTGCTA